ACACAGCCACACACATAAAGTAAGCTTTTGAAATATGCCTAAATTTGAATTCTATCTATTGTCAAACATTATCTGAGATTTTTGAAGCCCTAGATTTGTTTTATTTTATGAATGAATTTTGGACCTGCTTGTATATACATACACATGTATATGTAAATGTGTGTATGCTTGGTACTCAAGGTGATAAAAAAGAGGGCATGGGATCCCTGGATCTGGTGTTACAAATGGCTCTGAGCTGCCATGTGGGTGCTGGGAACTGAACCTAGTTCTTCTGCAATAGGAAAAAGTGCTCATAGCCACTTAGCCATCTCTACAGCCACCGCCTACTAGATTTCATGATTTGTGTTTGGTATGATTAACTATGGTTAACTTAGTATTTGTTCATGAGGAAATAAACCAAACACATAAAATTGATATAAAAATAGTAAATTCATAAATCTTCTGCTCAAAAGGATAAAAAATACATTTAAACAATAAAGAGAACTTAAAACTATGTCACTTTGCTATTGAGTTGAGTATCATTTCTCATTAGTAATTTTGAAATTCTCACATTTATTTCATGAAAGTTATCAAATACTTTAATAATGGGGCTATACCACAGTTTCTAGTCAATGTATTATATTGCTGAAAAATATGCTCCATTCATAAGTCTACAGACAAAATATCAACATTTTTTCCCTTTGTGTATCCTAGCCTGGCCTCAGACTCATGATGACCTTAGGTTTCTGGTTTTGCCTCCACTTTTGGGTGGGAAGGCTGGGAGTACAGGCACATACACCATGCTTTTCTGTGATGGGAATACACCATGCTTTTCCCTGGTCCCGTATGCCAGGCAAATGCTCTTCCAATGCAACTACATTCCAGCCCCTAAAATATGAACTTTTAGATGGCATGCATGTTTTTTTCATTCCTCATAACATAGTCACCTAAGATAAAACTGATTTTTTTTCTTCTTTCTTTCTTGCAGCTATTGTTTGGATTTTTATTTACCTAGCCAGACATGAACTTTTACGCTTTTGGATAGTATATCTGTCTGATATACTACTTCTTCTGTGGTTTCCCCGGAGAACTATAAATCTGCAATGAGAAGGAAGTAGAAGTATGGGTAAGTGGGTAAGAAAAAAAAATGCTAAGGACAGTCCCTGTGAAAGACAGTATTAACAGAATATTTCATGTTTTAAGTTATTCCGAATGCCATGTGTCCTCTAAGTGATCACTCCTTAAAGCTTTACCCACCTAGATGACCTTAATTAAACTTGGTCCAGATTTATGAGGACTATAAAATTAGGAAACTTTAATTTAAAAAACAATCCAGCAGCCCCGGTTAGTTTCCCAGAGCACACCCAGCATTACTTAAGACTTTATTGTTGCTGCTAGTTGGAGAGATCATAGCCACAGCGCCAGCCAGGTCTCGAAGAGTTCTGTGACTGATGCCTAATGGAACCAATTTTCACTCCGGCAGAACAAATTCAAGTTCAATACTAACTTGAATTCGTTGCCTTCGGATGCTAGGGATCAGATCTTTGGAGAGGAAATTGTATCAACGCCTCTGCCTATTAAGTGATATTCCATTTATTTCATCTAAATAGCTAGCAGGAACAATCGACAAGAGTCAAATCTAAAACAGAAAACAAATCTTTTTTAATTATGGAATTCGCTCTATTCTTTTGTTAGACTCCTTCCTGGCCTCCATTTTCTACAAACTACGCATCTCAACTGTGGACCACTGGTCTTTCTTAAACAAGAACAAATGCTTCAGTGCCTCCGCTCGCCTACACTAACAATCATACTACAGTCGTAGGCCACTGGCTGCCACTCACATTTTTATTACCCTGACTTTGATGAACACTGATACACTTGCATGTCTCCCCGTGCACCGGAAAGAAGAGTAATAATTTAGATAGAATTCTAAAAGTTAGCATGTTTTGTCAATAGCTTCATTGTTCCTCCTGTTCATTCATCACAGCTTGCCTGCCATTGAAATCCTTCCTCCCTGACATTATTAAAGTCAGTCATTATTAAAGTCATTTCAAAAAGAGATACATGGGCCACTTCTAAGATATTGTCACGCTGGAATCATATTTTCAGTACTTTATAGTGTATTGTATTTTCAAGCATCTGAAGCAAATATAATATTCTTGCATATTTCCTGTGATAGAATCTCATGTAGACAATGATGAGATAGGAAAAATGATGTTTATCGTATGATTTTGTCATTGTCCCTTCTGATAACTAAGATGCCCTGAGAAAATCAGCATCAGGTTTCCTATTATGAAACAAATTAAAGTACATGAGCTGGAGTTCTTATATGCCTTACACTTGTGAGAAAGAAAAAAAAAAAAAAACCACAGGAGAGAAAACACTCAATAGTCCTATCTGTATTCATCCAGTTTCACTGAAATATCACTTGGGGATATAATTTTATAAACAATCTTACATTGTTTTACAAGACCATTTAGGGGATTCTTGAATTGTGTCCATCCCATACACACACAGAAGTTAAATTTAATTAAAACTTCATAAAAGATCCAAAACCCAAAAACTGCCCAATTCCTAAGTTTTCGACCCTTTTTTTTCTGTAGGCATTACTTAAGTAACTTAAACCAGATAGTTTTAAGTTGTTGGTGGCACGAAGCAAAGTGAATAAGCCTGTCTTTATGGAATGCATGCAATGGTTAGTCATTTTCAATTACCATGATGTAACTGTACCAAAATATGTCTACAAATGGGAGGCCATCCTTCTGAGCATTTGGAATGACGGTGGCATACTTTTCAATATCTTTTGATATTTTCATACACACACATGTCATGAACAGTTCAGTAATGTTATTTCCCTTTTAGTTACAAAGAAATAAATTCAGAGCAAAGACGGTCATTTTATTTGCTAACAAATCATCTCTATAATAATAAAGTGCACACACAGACAGAAACAAGGTAGGTAGGTTCCAACTTCAGTGAAAACCGAAGCACAGGCCTAGACTGACAACGTAAAGTGTACGTAAGTCTACACGTGTGTACTGGTCAGAGAATATGTGAGAAATATGTGAGAAAGCAAACACTCATGCGGGGGGCAAGGGTCACAAATGCATGACTCATCCCATTTAAATTTATTATCTCTCGTCCCAGAAACAGACTAGAGTACTATAAAGTACTATATACATTTTCTGCTAATGAGATTTTGATCCAAGTTTTGCTTTACATCGAAATTAGTTCATCTTCACACAGGGACCGAGAAAGAACCTTCTCAAATCATCTTTCGACCCAGCAAATGCTTTCGAAATAAATTAATGAGCAGCACCTCTCAATTGTACAAACATGTTACAAGACTTCCTGTCCCTCTAACATTTTGGATTTTAAAAGTGTTCTAGCTTTCAAAGAACAAAAAGAAGTGAAAAGCCGCTTCCATCCATCTTTCCCTCCCCCTCTCCACAATTTCACCAAGTAATTTATCTTAGTTTTACTTTTTAAATAAAGGTCATTCATTCTCCAGGCTTTCTTTTTGCCTTCCTTCCCTATCGCCAAGAGCACATATTTGGGCGATGGGAGAGTTTCTAAATAGGACCTTTACGATAGGAACGTGGGAAGAAGGGACCAATATCCTGGAACTTGACCCTCAGTGTTCCCCACTCGACCCCCTTGCTGCTCTCCTTTTTCTGGTCGTTCCTCCAAGAACTTAAGAACCTCAGGTCCGCACGCGGCAAAACCGAGTTTTGCTACGAGATGCACCTAACAACTTTGGCGGTTTTCCCTTGGAAAGCTGAGAGACACGCGTGAATGTTTCTTCTGGTCCGCCCTTGCACAGTCGAGCCAACGCAAATCCCTGCCCTTCCGGTAGGTCCAACGACCGAGCAGACGCTCTTTCAAGGAATGCCAACACCCAAATGTTACCCACTGCCCCCTAGTCACAGGGAAAAGGCGCTGGATGGGATTTCCCTGGAGCACGTGGCCTGCGGTGACCCAGCGCCACGAGGGTGAGCAGCCCGGGAAGAACCTGGCAGTCAGGACTGCAGCGTGTGCCTGGATCCCCGCCGCGCTAGCTACGTGCCAAAGTCTCCCCTGCAATTCAAAGTGCAGATCAATTTCCCTTTCTACCAGAAAGATAGCTTTTGCTGTAAGAGGGGGAGAAGGGCTGGAGGCTCACGACGGTAAGGAAAAGGGGACAGCGAGTGTGCTCGCATGTTAATTTTTTTCTTCCCTCCTCCTTGTGCTTCCAAATTAAAAAGTTGCCTCTTAGGCGACAGGCCTGCGGTTTTCACAGTGTAAAACGGATTAGTGGGCAAGCTCCTGCCCTTCTCGACTTTCGCTTGCGGTTTGCAACCCCCGGGGCGGGTCTGACCCCGCGGCACCCGCCCAGGCGAGCCTTGCCCGCAGCTGCCTAGCGCGTGGACTCCACTTCTCCAGCGCCAGCACCCACCCCGGGGACAGTCGGCCTCCCACCCCGCGGGGCGGAGCCCAGGCTCAGCGCCCAGGGGGAGGGAAGTTCCCACGGTGTGGATGATCCGCATTCCCAAAGCCAGCAGCCCGCCTTCCAGCCCCTGCGCTCTCGCGTCCGCGCTCTCCTCCGCCGCTCCTGGGTCGTGGGTGGGTCGGAGTCTAGGGACCGCCTGGTAGCCGCACGCTCCCAGGCGCCGTCAGGAGGAAAAGACCGAGAAGGAATTTATTGGGACCACGCGGAAACCTGCTTGCTTGTTTTCTTTCTTGTTCATAGGTTTTTCTCCAAGAATCTGGAGTTCGTGAAGGACACTTCCAAGAGGCGTTGAGTTCTCATACGCTTATCAGTCGATTGAAGGAAAGAAGAAAAAGGAAAAAAAAAACTGAGTTCGCTGAAGCTGAGGCACCGTAGATGCAAGAGACATGGTTCCCCCACGTGCACCTGTCCACGAGTTTGCAGAGAGTGAGGAGATTCCGGGATTGGCCAGCCAGTCTTATCCCATGCGCATTTCAACCCTTGGTGACCCTTTGCTTCTACGTTTAATAAAGAAAAGTAAATGTTTGCTTTCTAGTTCCAGAAACACTCTTTTGGTCTTACCGCCCCGGCACGGGATTTAGGCTTCCTCTTACACTGCAGGGAATTTTCAGTGTGACTTGTCGAGATGCATAGTGGGGAATCCACAGATGAGGTCCTGAAGGTGGTGGGGCCAAGGGTCCAGAAAATAACAGCAGTAAGCGACAGTCTCCGGGGTTCATAACCCTCAGGCCCGTTTTGCTTGGGGGACACTTGAGCCGGAGGGTGGAGCGGGGACTACCAGCCGCCACCCACAGTTGCTAGTGGGATGGAGAATCAGGCGCGTTCCACCTTAAGAGTCTGGGAACGCCGGACACCTGCAGGGGGCGCTGCTGCCTCGCGGTTCCTCCCGCGCCAAGGCACAGCCGGCTCCGCAGCTTCCTGGCATCGTCCCCGGAGGGGGTGGGGACGCTAGGGGAGGAAGGGCGCGAGTGCCGCCGTTAGGTAAGGAACCCGAGCTCTTCTGGATCCAGAAGCAGCCTCAGTGAGGCGCTTGCAGCGTGGAGCTTTCCATCATTCGGCTCAGAGAGGAAGTGCAGGCAGGCGCCCTCCCCTGCCCCCACCGCCTGCCTTCCTGCCTCCCTCCACCTCTCTTCTCCGACCCCGACCGTGCTTCCCAGACCCTTTGTTCTCCAGGTTGGGAGCGGCAGGGTGGGTTCCCCGGGGAGGAGGCGCCCCTGCTGCACGCGGAGGGAAAGGGATCGTGGCCTGGCTTCCGACCCGCAGCCCTCGCCCTTAGAGTCCCCTGCGCCCCGCCGCCCCTTGACTTAGGCAGCTCCGGGCGGGCTTTTCCGCCCCTCTTCCCGCGTCGCCGCCTCCCGGCTCCCCAGGAAGAGGAAGGGTAAAGACTGACGCCAGGGGCTGGAGAAAGCAAGTCTACTTCCCGGTGCTGAGAAGTCCCAGGGGCCGTTTTGGGCCCGAACCCCGACATCCTCGGGCTTTGGGCGCATGGTCGCGGCCGCGAGGCACGGCACGGCCTCGTAGTGAGGACCCAAGGTCCCCATCGGGGATAATGGGACGGTGTATTTCGCGCTCGGGAGAGTCTGATTGCTCTCCCCACACCACAACCACCCTCGGCGGCGCCACCCGCGTCGCCTCTCTGCCGCGCGTGACCCCAAGGGCTTGGGCGATTGTGTCTCCCTGAGTACAGTTACAATTGTGTTCAGCTTAATTTCTTACTCGGATGAAGGCGGCGCACGGAGTAAAGCGCGGGGGAGCAGGGTGTGGGGGAGGGGAGTTAGAGCGGGAAACCGCTGGGGATGGGAGAGCCACTGCACTGTAAAGGGCTGCTGCGGGTCCCGGGTCCGAGGTGACCAAGTAGCCCTGCTTATCCAGGCTCAGGATGTGGGCCCAGCAGCCACAGCGCGGCCGAGACCTCCTCAGCCTCCGCCCAGGGCACGAATCTCCCTCCGCAGAGCGCCATCCACACTCCCTGAACTCCAGCACGTTTGCGCTCGGCCGGGTGTGAGGGGAGGGCTCCTTACGAGCAGGGTGTCACCAAGTAGGTGCTGCTGCTGGAGTGGCGGCGCGGCCTGTGGTGGCCGTCAGCTCCCGGCGTCCTAGAGCCCCTCCCGCCTCTTAGCTTGACCCAGGTCCTCACTGGCTGGTCTAAAGGCGCGTTAGCAGTTCTCTCCGCAGCGGGTTCCGGGGGACACACCCCGTCCCCACCCCCGAGAGCTGGCGGCCAGCTCGGGATGCCAGGCGGCCAGACGGGCGCCCTGCCAAATTCCGCGTTCCTCTCTAGGAGACGGGGAATTGCGTCCCAGGCTCGGGAAAGCCCGCAGTTCGGGCTTGGGACTCACTTGCAAAACACACCCCACCCCCTCCAAGGCGCCAGGGACGCCTCTGCAGGTTGAATTCCTGCTCCGTATCACTTCAATTTTAATTAATCTTTTAAAACACCGCTGTCACGTCGCTTGCAGAAAATTAATCAAACTTGAATCCTTGTTGCATAGCAAGAATTTCGATCCAAGTCTTTTAAAAAGGACTTGACTTTGCAAAGTCACGTCTTTTACAGTCCCCTCATTCCCCCTTTAGCAAGGGAAATACTGCAAAAGTCAGGACATGTTTGCTTCTTTCTGTCTTTAAAATGAAACTCTGCTTATTTCTGATCTTTATTTTCCTGTCTTTGAAAAAAAAAGTTAAGCGATAAATTGCCTACCTCTGTTAATTCAAAATATAATTAGTTTGAATGATCTTTGTTTAAGAGCCCAGATAAACTAAGATAATCTTAATTTTAATGTGACACGACCCCTATTTTTCCTCGTGAATAATGAGAATAAAGAAGTCATTAATTAATACCAAGGTATCTCCATAGAAGATGGTATCTGGTGGTGCTTAGACACTGAAACATCGGTTGTATTAGTAATTGATACTGTATAATTGAACATGGAGATAGTCGTCTGTTTTTAACCTCAAAGCTCAGAGTTTATTTGGTGATTACTGAGCTTCTAATAATTAATTTTAGTCCCTTCTTGATGCAGAAATAATTCTTATGATTTCTACTTCCCATGCAACAGAGGCTTCTCATTAAAACCCACCCCTCAAAATGATTGTGAACCTATATCATGTAGCAACCCTTTCTGTTCCATTATTTGTAATAAATTTGCTCTATTTTCATATCCTATTACATTTTCCTTTGCTGTAATTTACTTTCTAAAATACAAAGATGTAACTATCTTCTACTATTGCTTTGTCTTTCTACTGGAGTCGAATAGTTCAGCTTAATAATGATTCCTAAGACTTTCAGTATGTTTTAGTTTCTAAGATTTGAAGATGAATTTCACTGAAGAATCCAATTTTTTGTACAGTGATTGCCACACACCAGACTCTGATCAAACCCACAACCTGCATTAGCTTACACTTTTCTGTTATTAAAACAGACTGCAAAACACGTTCCCCCTTTCCAACACGAACTGAGAAACAGCTATTGCAATTTCCTGGGCTAAATTTAGTGTTAACACAACTTTTGGCATTAATATAAAAATCCTCTCCAAAGTAATAAGGTCTTCCAAATAACAATGGATATTTAAACTCCAGCTTTGAAGTGTCTAGTTACTTCTCACCATGAATTTGCTAATAGCTCTGGTTTTTAACCAGTGGAAAGGCTATGATATTTTTCTCTCATAAAAGAAAAGAAAAGCCTTCTTATAACCTTCCTCTAGACATGTGTTATCCCAAGTAAGTATGAAGTATTTTTACCACATAAATATTCTTAGTACCTACCCTACCATATCCAAGCTTCCTGCTTAATAGTCCTGAAATGGTTGGAAAGCACTTCAGTTTCACACTTTTAATTTCCCTTTTACTACAATTAAAACTTTAGGTCAGTATATGCTGGCGTAATCTCTTCTCTTGGATCTTATATTTTCCCACTATAATTTAGGCTGAAATGGGATTAAAACAGGATCTAGAGTTCTAATCTCGGTTGATGTTTTGGTGTATTCACCGTAATGAGTCCTATTCCCTGCGGTCATGAAGCTCCCAAATGTCAATCAAGCAAACTGATTCAGAAATGCCATTGTTCGGCTCCCACGTCACTCGCCTTCCTCTCATTTTATTGAACAATACCGGAGTTCTCTGATCAGTCATTCGGAATATGAGGCATTATCTGGGGAAAATTCACAAAGTGTCTTGATCTTTCTTTGGGAGATACTGTTAAGGGGCTCGGGCAAGGCAGAGTGCTTGTTTATATTTCTGTCTTTGGACCGCACTGTGGATAGAAAGAAGCAATGAATACCTCCTGAAAGAAAATCATACCGTAAATCCGTCAAAAATTAATTCGTCCAGTCGAATGTTACATTTCTATTTTCGTGTTGGAAGCGTACCGATTTGTCTTCTGAGAAAGTATCACGGGGTCGGGGACCAGTTGACATGCCCCCACATCCAACCCCCGATTTTTCACCCATTTAATAATACTAATGTGTTTACACTAGTTAACTAAGAATTTATTTGGGAGCGAGGAAGAGCTAAGCTTCACTAGGAAACTCTCTCCCCTGCCCACTCAGGCGTCAGGGCGTCTCTGCCACTCGCTTTTCCCAGTCACAACCCTGGGTCATTCATGCCTGCGTCCCCGCCTCGAGACAATTCCCAAAGCCGAAGGCGTCAAGAGTGTTACCAGCTCCAAACAGCCCAAATTAATAATCAACTTAATTCATGGAAGCCTCGAGCCTTTATCCTCAGTTCCCTGAAGGCACTGGGTTTGGAGCCCGGCTCCTGCGAGGACTTCCTTACAGGGAGGCAGGCGTGCAGGGACAGATGTCAGGGGAAAAGCGATCGATGGAAACTTTCACCTACAGGGTTACGGGCAAGGAAGCACGAATCACCCCTCTCAATCCTCTAGCTCTGGGTTCTTATATCGGAATTCCTTGCAAAGGCGACAGCCGCGCAGGCTCGGGCTACTGGCGCCTGCAGCACCCTTCGCCACACGCACACAACGCGCGCGTCCTCCGCGCACACTTAGAGCCGAGGTGAAAAGCGAAGGCCGCAGAGGTGGGGGCACAAGGTGGAGCCGCTATCGGGTGGGACGTGAGCGATCACTTTAAAGTAAATGATTCGACAATTAAAAAAAAAATCCCAGGCTCCCCTTGGAAGACAGGGGGAAAGCTTCCCGAGGCCTGTATGCCTCTGCTATCCGCGGCTTCCGAGCAGTGGCGCCAGGCGCGGAGGTCTCGGAGACCGGTGTGGGACCCGGGACCCCAGACTCCAGCCGGCTCCCCAGGCCGAGCTTTACACAGCTGGCGGAGGCGACTGGGCTCCTCCGGGAGAATCGGGCTCCCCAGGCACAGACGCGCGTGCTGCACGCCTGGCTCGTGCCGCATGCGCTTTTCCCTTTCTCAGCAAGCGGGAAAGGCCTGCTCTCCAGACGAGCTGGAAGCTGATGGCCCAGAGGCTCCGGAGTCTTGCAAGAAACCCGAGCTCCCTGCGACCAGCTCCCCGAGAAGGGGAGGGGGAGAGCCCAGCAAACTGCCCCGGAGGCGGGCTGTGCGAATTCCA